AGACACTATGCGTGTTTGGCATTTTACACCTAGCTGTTGGGACTTTCACAATGGAGGTTGGTGGGCGTCCCTCAACACCAACCACTACTGGTCTCCTTGAGGCTGACTTATTGGTAATATTCTTCTTACACTGGCTCCTCAAATGTCCTTGCTTTCCACAGTTCCAACAACTTTTCTGGGTAGCAGCCTTTCCTGCTCTAGCATCTCCCCTGTGTTGAAGTTGCCAGCATTGAGCTCTCTTGTGTCCAGGTTTGTTACAGTGCCAACAAAGTCCCTCAAACCTCTCTGAAAGCTGACCTTTTCTGGCCTTGAATCCTGTTGACTGTACCAACCTTGGTACCCCTGTGCTGGACTTAACGTAGGATTCAAATTCAAGAGTTCTGGCCATTGCATCCTGCATAGTAGAGGGGTGTGCTTGCTTCACTTGTATTTTTAGTTGTGGACTGTCCAAGGCGTCTACAAACTGATCTCTCAGCAACAACTTGAGGAGATCGGGTGGTGCAGTTGGGTAGGCCTTGTGTGCCATGCTTTCCAAGTCTTGTGCCAGCTCTTGCAGGCTCTCCCCTTTAGCACGTATTCTCGTCCTAAACCTAGCCCTGTAGACTTCTGACTGATTTTGGGTTCCATACCTGAGTTCTAGAGCCGCTACCAGTGCTCTATAGTTGTGCCTGTCGTCTGCTGACAACTGTCCAAGTATTTCCAGTGGTTGTCCCTTCAAGCTCGTTGCCAGATATACTGCTTTCTGCTCCCCTGTCTATCCATTCATTTCTGCCAGTAGCTCAGATTGTGCTCTATATTCTTCCCAGGGTGCCTTCCCATCGAATTCCTGTGGCTTCCTTCGTATTAGTTCACCCCTATTGCTGACATTCATATCTGGGATGTGACTTCTAACAGGACTGAAGATGTCTGCGGGGTCTGGAAGGGGCTTGCCATTGTCTGGGGCTGATTACGTCGATGGTTAATGTATCCTCCTTGTGTAAAAGACAATAAATCATCCTTTAATATATTTAATTCGCTTTGGAATTTACTAGTGTTTTCCATTTGTACTTCTTGCCACTGTTGTTGACTTTCCTGTAACTGTTGGAGACTTTCTTCCTGTTTCCTTTCTTGTTCCAGTTGCCACTGCTCTGACCTCTCTTCTTGTTTCTTTTCTTGTTCCAGTTGCCACTGCTCTGACCTCTCTTCTTGTTTCTTTTCTTTTTCCTCCAACAACTGCTGTAATTTCTCTTCTTGTTTCTTTTCTTTTTCCTCCAACAACTGCTGTAATTTCTCTTCTTGTTTATTTTCTTTCTCCTCCAACCACTGCTGTAGTCTCTCTTTTTGTTTCTTTTCTCGTTCTTCTTGTTTCTTTTGTTGTTCTTATATTGCTGCCATTAAATCTTCTAAGCTGTAGTTTGATTTGCCACTTCTCGTTTCCATTTTTTTTCATCCCACTTCTGACACCAATTTGTTACGCCTCTGGTCGTTAATTAATTTTCCGTAAAAATTCTTTCCGAAGAAACTTTAGCGATACAAGTCCTTTC